GTTTTGGAAAGATGCAATCAAGGATGAAATGGATTCAATAATGTCAAATAAAACTTGGGAACTTATCGATCTACCACCCGGATCCAAACTTATTGGTTGTAAATGGGTATTTAGGAGAAAATATAATGTTGATGGTTCTCTAAATACTTTCAAAGCTAGACTTGTAGCCAAAGGTTATCGACAAAAGGAAGGAATTGACTATTTTGACACTTATGCACCAGTAGCAAGAATAACTTCAATTAGGATATTGTTTGCATTAGCCTCGATATATGACTTGCATGTTCATCAAATGGATGTCAAAACGGCATTCCTAAATGGGGATCTCGATGAGGAGGTCTATATGGAACAACCAAAAGGTTTTGTTTTACCAAGAAATGAACATAAGGTATGCAAGCTAATTAAATCGTTATATGGGCTAAAGCAAGCACCTAAGAAGTGGCATGAGAAATTTGACTTAGCAATTATTTCATTGGATTTAAACATAATAGTGTAGATAGATGTTTGTATTCTAAAGTGTGTGATGATTACATGATATTTATATGCTTATATGTTGATGACATGATGATTATAAGTAATCACATGGATGGGATAAAAGAAACGAAGAGGTTTCTATAATGAAGGATCTTGACCAAGTGGACCATTTTTATGTTTCAAAGTCATAAAGACTAGTGGGGGTTATCACCTAAGTCAGTCACATTACATTGAGAATGTGATAAACAAGTTCAAACACTTGAAAATAAAAGAATATAGTACTTCGATTGACCCAAGTTCAAAACTTGTAAAGAATGATGGAAGGCGATTGCTCAATTGGAATATGCTAGTGCTGTAGGAAGTCTTATGTATACAGTTTAATGCACAAGACTGGACATAGCCTACGTCATAAGTAAACTTAGCAGGTTTACTAGCAATCCGAGTAATAATCATTGGAAGGCCATTGGAAGAGTTCTTAGATACTTAAAGAAAACCAAAAACCTGGGCATGCAATATACTAAATTTTCGATGGTATTGGAAGGATTTACCGATACTAGTTGGATATCTAGCACTGGTGAGAGTAAATCCACTTCGGGTTAGGTGTTCATTCCTGGAGGAAGTGCTGTTTCTTGGAAATCAAAGAAACAAACATGCATAATACACTCGACTATGGAATCAAAATTTGTTGCTCTATCGGATACTGGGAAAGAGGTTGAGTAGCTAAAAGATCTCTTCTATGAGATGCCTTTAGGATCGAAGAATATTTCTTCAATACCTATCATGTGTGATCGTTAAGCCACATTAGCAAAAGCATAATATGAAATATACAATGGAAAGTCTAGACATATGAATCTTAGACATGACTATATAAGGAAGTTAATCAAGGATGGAATAATTTTCCTAAATTATGTAAGGTCGAATGAAAATTTGGTGGATCCTCTAACTAAACCTCTAAATAGAGATTTAGTGGCATCTACTTCAAGTAGGATGGGATTGAAACTCCTTAACTGAATATGAGATACCTTTGGGATCAAAGAATATTTCTTCAATACCAATAATGTGTGATAGTCAAGCCACTTTAGTTAAAGCATACAATTATGTATATAACGGGAAGTCTAGACATATGAGTCTTAGACACAACTACATAAGGAAGTTAATCAAGGATGGAATAATTTTCCTAAATTATGTAAGGTCGAATGAAAATTTGGCGGATCCTCTAACTAAACCTCTAAATAGAGATTTAGTGGCATCTACTTCAAGTAGGATGGGATTGAAACTCCTTAACTGAAATATCCACCAATGATGGCAACCCTACCTGTCGTTACTCAAAAGGTTTTTCATGGGTTCAAAGGGTGTCAACAAGTCATTCGATATGTGGATAGTTACAGCATTATTATAATCCGCTATAATCCTATCCTAGATTAATATAATGCTGGTTGTTACTAAAACGAGGATTGAGCTATAAGCTCTTAATAAAGTTCAGTGTAAAACCACAAGTACTTCTAAAAGTAACAAAGGTACTGGAAGAACTTTACCTAAATAAACTTCAAGGTGGTGCCGCCTTAATAGAGAGTTGGAGTTCTCTCTTAAAAGTTTATTGAAAAGGATAAGCGCAAGGCCATAAAAGCGCTAAGCGAGAAACGAGAAACTTGAGAACACGTGATATTCGTGTGTGTGTTCTTATCGGTATTGTCACATGAAATACTTGGTTCAAAGCTTCACGCTACCTTGAATTTCGACTTTACTTTGTTTGAATTACACTATGGTTAGATTCAAATCGAAAGATATCTAATCCTTACGCATGAGTATCGTATAATTTGAATAATGAGAAACTTGTTAATTTTGAACAAGTGGGGGATTGTTATGAAGTGGTATAATTGTTCAAAACCAACAATAAAAATAAAAATAAAAATAATTAGGCCATGCGGTCGCATGGCCTAAAGCCATGCGACCGCATGGAGCCCTACCGAGACCATATGGTCTCGGTAGGATTGTACCATGCGATCGCATGGGTTTGTACCATGCGGTCGCATGGTACAGAAAAACGACCGTTGGATCGTTTTTTGTTGGTTTTTTGGTGGCTTTTCATCCATAAGGTGCACCACTTCGTAAAGCTATACTACTTGGCTATAAATAGGTGATCTTGGGTCATTGAAAAATGTTGAAAAAACACTTATTATATTGATCCTTCTTGAGATCAAATCCAAAAGATAAAATACCCTCTCATATTCATCTTTTCTTTGTGTTCTTAAGTTTTAGAGATTCAAACAAGTGTTTAGTGTTTGAATCTCTATAAGGCTTGATTAATCCTTCAAACCTTTTGCCGGATCACCCTTTAAACATCAAAATAGTGGGGGCAAAATTCGTTTGAGGACAACAATTAAAGATTGTGTTTGAGCCTTCAAAGTTCTTCATATATCCTTTGCCATTTGTTCATCTCCTATACTTCTTTCGATAATTTTTCTATTTGTAATTCGTTCTCATCTTTGGTGGAGTAACATTATTTCCAACACTCTCAATAGGAGAGACTACTCCACTACTACTTATACACAGTGTAGATTTGCCAACTATCGATGGGGATCGACACTACTTCCAATGCTAAGATTTGGCTTAGACTAAAGCTACAATCAACATTCAAAACTATAGAACTACTATTACTCGCAACAAAGGAGCTCTTACTGGAGGACCTTGGATGAGAGCAGCCCTTTATCTTACTGTTTGAAAGTGGCACCCTGATTTTAGGCCTTCCTTGGCAACAATCACTCAAACTGCAGTTTGGATCCGTTTACCTGAGCTCCTTTTTTAGTACTTCGACAATGAACTACAAAACTCTTGGTAAACTTACGAAAATTGATACGGTTATTGAGCTGGCTATGCGATGTCATTTTGCAAAAATCTGCGTTCAAATCAATCTAAGTGCTCCCTGGATTAGAATTGGCAAGTATCGTTAAAAGATTGAATATGAAGGAGTACATTCCCTATGAAAATGCGATGGAAAATACATAGAAGTTGCATTATTTTAGCAAAAACCTCTTCCAAGGTCTTTTTTTAGTAGCAAATAGGGAGGTAGTGGTTTTTTAATAACCCAAAACTTGGATCCGCTTTACAATGTATTAGTCGAACCCCTGGGATACGATGTCGGGTAGCTGTACAAAGACTCCTTTTGGTCGACAAGGAGATTCTACAAGTGAATTTCAAGATCAGAATTGGTCTTCGATTCGTTCATTCTTCAAGGCAGACTACAAGAGAAGTGGACTCAAACTTGGAGAGAGAGACTTAGAGAGGGAAATGAAGCTCATACCGGGGGTACTCCTGGGCGAGCCAAGACATCCTTAGTTTAAGATTAATACCTCATCTACACCCCCTTATCGTAAAAAAATAAAAAAGTTATTTTTTCTTTATATAAGTAAATGACGCGCAATATGATGAATGCTATTTCTTTACATACAAAAGATCATAATTACAATAAATGTTCATTCTATTAACTATATACACGCGCATCAATAAATCATTTTTGTTTACCAGACTGTCAGACACTCATATTCTGATCTTAAACATACAACAGTTCAGAGATACAAATTTAACAAATACTTATCTGATTGTCCAAACATTTGTTAGCACTTTGTTACCACTTGCTAGTTGGTGGTGGTTGGGACCAGAAGCACTCTCTGTCATGCATTGTGTAACCAGAAGCCCAATTGAAATGAATAGGCCCACTTGGCACGATTATTGTGAGTTGAACTTTTATCAGTGAAGTATTTATCGGTAAAACTTTTTTTGAAATTGAAAGTAGCAATTATAAAAAGTTGAAGATTGTTTGGTTGTAAAAAAAAATAAAAAAAATAAAATTAACTGTTTGGCGAGATAACTAGAAAATGATTTAATTTCATTAATTATATATACTGCATTATTATTTGACTAAATATTATTTGTTTATTATGTAAAAGCTGTAAACGTAAAATATTTTAGTCAAATTTTCATTGGACAATACTTTTTTAGTATAAATCATATTATTTAAAATTTATTTGTTTAATACGTTAAAATATGATGCTAATAAACGAAATATCATTAAGAATTTGAATTACCCTAAAATATGTGGTTTTTATTTTAAGAAAGTACTTTTTTTTTTATTTGTCATTTCTTTTGTAAAAATCAACACGATATTCACTTCGAAAATACACCAACCAAAAAGGTTTTGTCCACCAAACATAATCATATCCTTTAGTTTTGTACAAACCACAACCACAACCACAATGTGATGCTCAAATGAACCAAAAAATTGACCCACAAACATTATTTAAACGATTTTCATTCCTATAAGGTGGGCTCTTAAAAAAGAATTGCTAATTCCCATCTTGAGAAAATATATTTGTGATTAATTTGATGAATAACAGTCTCGCGTATAAGCTTCAAAATCAATACGTATTTTTTTGTAATCACTTTTCCAGAATGGCAATTTATCTTGAGCCTCATAAATGTAATATGTCCCTCCATCAGAATATGTCGTGGTATTCTTACATGCAAATCTCTAAGTATCACAACTCGAGAAGACTGTTCATATTTAAATCCTTCTGTACAAATACAAAACTCAGTATCATTCCTTGTTTATATTAACTCAAAGTCATCCCATTGTCTATGTACAACTCAACCATGCATGGAACTAAGAAGTGCCCTTTGTGCATGATCACCATATTGTGCAACATTTCGTTTCGAGTAGTTAGGGTAAAAGGCTTCACATAGCTTATGATACTTCTCAATATCAAAGTTGTGACTTTTCATAAGCTTCTTTTGCTTAGCTTTGAACCGTCGATGAAAGTAGCCTTCAAAAGTGGGCTCTTTTGATGTTCTCAAAAAGAATGCATAGGCAAGTGCAAAGTGGAGAGAGGTGACAAAGAAGCAAATGGGCTCCATCACATCCCAACTAAGTTCCCAAAAAGTAAGCCTAATAAAGCCCAATGTTTGGATGACTAAAAAGCCCAGCCCACAATAGAGTTCACCACGAACAAGAGATTGGGCCTTTTGGTCAATCGAGGCCTTCTGCAGTTCCAGTTGGTCCAGTTCTTTCCTTCTTGGGTCGTTTGGCATGGCTATTGATTGGGAAATTATTGTCTCCACTGATTTTGCCACCTGGATTGTACAACATGGAAGGCAGTCAGTACTATTCATTAAACATAAGTAATTCCGATTTTAATAATTAATACCTGATCGGGCCTGAGGAATACAACGTTGCCTAAAACGATGACGTTGCCAGATTCGTCTAAGGCCTTTGAAAATTCCAGCCCAAGTTCTTTACACCCGCACACGTCGTAGCAAATCCGTACAAACTCGCCGTACGGAACTGTACTCGCCGGAATGTTCCTCAGTCTTTCCTTAACCGTCTCCAACTGCATAAACCTTTGAACTCTCTTCACATCCTTCACACTCACACCAAACTCATCGTCCTTCGCCTGCGAATGTAGAGGCGGGCTCAGCCCGTCAAGTCGGAGGCGGTTATCGCCGGGTATGTTCAGCGATTTCAACTTCTCTCGAAGCTTGTCACCGACGGGAAGAGTGAGGAAGGAGGGGAAGTTAGTGGGAGAGGAGTGGTTGTTGATGGCTCTGCGCTGGAGGAAGCGGCGGAAGAAAACTGTGGCGGCGGAGTCTGGAGATGTAAGAAACTCACGGTGGAAGTGGGCTTTGACAGCATTTGATGGTTTGGAAGATTCTCTGTTGGTGAAGTTGACGAGGCGCTTCACAAAAGTTCTACGAATCGCCATTGATGAAGGGTAGAGAGAGTTTTGGGTGTGTCTACGACGATTGAGTGATGGTTCAGAGGAGAGGCTTTATATAGGTGATTCCTGGGTTGGAGGAGGAGAATGGAGAGAAAATCTTCTCTCTGTTTGGAAAGGAGAATCTTTAGATATATAATTAATTTTTTTCTTCGGTATTAAATAGAATCTCAAAACTATATATTCCTTAATTAAATATAATTAAGGAATGCTTATATAGGACGCTAGCACATTTTTAGGGTTTGTTTGTGGAATATTGCAATTTGCAAATGCTCACAATCGCAATTGTCCTAAGTGACATGCATGTAAAAGTTAGTGATTTGATATATGAGATAATAAAAAATTATCATATTAATACATCAAATCACTACATGCTATATATATGTCATGTAGGACAATTATGGTAAATAGCATTACCCTTTGTTTGTATGGGAAAAAAATAATTTTTAATTTTTAATTTTTTAAATTTTTTTGAAAGACTAACCCATGTTTGGACTTCATTAAAAATAAATGTTGAAAAAATATATATTGAACTTGTGCTTTTTTTTCGGGGAATGTATGTTTAAATAATAAAGAAAAAATTTTGAATTTACATGTAATGTTATTTTATTGAAAAAATGTATAATTGAAAATTAAAAATACATTTTTTTTTTCCAAAAATATATTCCAAATAGGGTCTAAATATTGAATTGTGTAAGTTCTATAATAGTGAACTAGGTAACTTACCTAATGACCCAATTTGAATTTTGCTAGATGTATATTCTTGTTTACGTCGTCCGCTTAACTTTGACCACTAGGTCATAATACTAAAGTCGAACCCACGAAGCACTAGAAATAAGCTTCGAACATAGGACTGCCACTCAAAATTGGTGAGCAATTTATGCATAGATGAGATTCATACTATACATTGTGCTAGAACAATATTCTAGCATACATTTATAGTTTTAAACAACAAGTGACATGTTCAGACCTTTCCATATACATGCTAACCATATCCTAGGTAATTTGACATCAACAAATGTTGTTCACTAAAACTATAAAACGTTATCGTGATTCTTGTTCAGCTAAGATTTATTTTCTCTAAATTTAAAAGATACATTTGCACCCTCTAGCAGAATTTCTACGTAAAGTATTCTATTTCATGCACAAGTTTCTCCAAAGAATCCAATACGCGTCGAGATACTTTTGACATCATCATTTTCAGATAATTCTTCATGAAAATCTGCTGCTGGGGTATTTTGCGCAAGAATGTCAACTGAAATCTTGATTTCCAAATTCCAAAGATAATATATTTTTTTTATTTTTTATTTTTTGGCTGTGTTCATATTCTTATTCGTGAAGAATTGGAATGATTATCTGCCACCGCCCTCCCCACAAATCCCACATTTACTAAAATATTAAAGATTCTAATGCAGCATGGAATAATTGGCAAGCATCATATTTGCTAGAAAATGATGGTTAAATCTTCATATTTCTTATCTTAATTTGGTTTTTCCATTTGAAATTTGGTTCCACGTTTGATGTTGAAATAATTAACTTGTAAATATTTAACTCTCTAGAGGTATTGAGAAACTTACATTTAGCTTTTCTATAAGCATTTAAAAAGTTCTGAACCCGTTAAATTAACTTAGTAATTACTAATTAGGACTATATATTTAGCCCTTGTTTGATTTGGTAAAAATCAAATCTTTAATTGGTTTTTTTTTTTTTTAAGTTGATAAAATATATAATTGAAAAGTTAATAAAAATAGTTGGTTGAAAAAGAATTTAAAAAGAAAAAAAAAGTTTTAAGAAATGAGAACAAAACATAGCTTTTTAACTTGTGGTTCCATCCTAAAAATCAACTTACTTAGTAAAGATGTCAACTGAAAATCAACTTTTGGTTCCATCCTAAAAATTAACTTACTGATTAGTTGCTCAAAACTTTAAAGGGAGTTTATCATTCGATAGTCGATCAATGTGAAATTTATCCCTAACAGATAGTAGCCCATTTGAAAATACAAATTTTAAAATTCATGCACTCGTTTGAATCTTAATGAGATTTAATTGTTCGTTTGAACTTAACATGTTCTAATATCGTATTAAGACTTATAATTCCAGATAAAAATGACAACTTTTAGAAGATGGGTAATGAATGTGTTACTAAATGTTTGCGTGTTTATTTGAGAATAGTGATTTCATTTTAGAAGTTCGATCTTATTAAAAGATGTAACCCAAAGTAAATTATAATTTCGATATTTAATTGATAATGACACGTATTACATCATGCATCTTGCCGAACAACTAAATAATTATGTCTGATCGGTAGATGTCAATTTCCCATTGTAAAGGAATATGATATCACCAAATGAATAGGAATGGATTTTGGGGAATTTTATACAATTAGTGACAGGCAGGGATTCCTGGCTGCCCCTTTGAGAAAAGAGGGGACATTCCCATACAAGATATGAATAGGGCATGAATCATTGTAAGAGAATTAAAGAATCTCCAACAAATTGTGAAGTGGAAGGGCTATTGGATTCCATTTGATTTCGGATTTTATTCTTAGACAGTTGTGGGATATCTACTAACCCCATTTGCTTATGTGCATTCCTGACTCCACTGTTCATTATCTCATTTATTGCTTCAGCTCAACATGAATATTTGTTAGAGAACTATATTATTCCAATCGAACATCGGTTTCAATTCATTATTATGAATTCATTCAAATATACATATCAAATTCGATATCATTCAACACTGTAACTATATCAGTATTAGTGACAAGTCTAAATTTGGCAAAGAGGAAACATGGGATCTCCTTGACATGCGTAGGTTGGCATTAGTGCCCTTATACTAAAATAAATAATAATTTCTCCTATTAGAATTGTTAGCATCTAAACAGGTTAACAATTCTTAAATTTTGTTATTGTTTAGTGGAATCGCCCCCGCCTAACTTTCCTTATCCAAAATGGACAAATTATTAACATGTTATACACGTTAGTACACAAGATATAACAAGAATTTGACACGATATGATGAAGAACTTTTAATTTTTTCTATTTTATCTTTAATACTATTTTAATTGATAATAATTTAATTGGAAGTTGATTTTAGAGAACGTTGCACCTTGTAATTGACCAAACAAATTGTTGATCCGATTACTTTGTTCAATTCTCGATAATCTGCACAAAAGTCCATCGTCATATCTTTCAACTTCACAAATAAGACTCATGCTCCCTAAAGGGGTTGGACATTGTCCGAATTTTCGAGTACTTATTAATAGAATCATTGGGTTCAAATTTAATTATGAAATCGTTCGGGTTCGATTTCATACGATTCGGTTCAATTCAGTTTTCTAGTTCCATACAATAATTTTTTTTTAATATTTACAACAATGCTATATTATTTCAACTATGACACGTCGATCTTAATTCTTACAAAATAACTAAATTCAATCTTGTGATATCTTTTGCACCTATCTTTGTTGAATTCTTCATAGTTTAACTGTTAAAATCACAATAATAAGAAGATAACAAGCTCATAATAATGAAAGAAGCATAGTTGAGCTTCTAATTCGATTTCTTCATAATGACAGAAACAGTAGAATAAAATGTTTGGGTAAAACTTATATCAATTTAATTAACTTGGGTTTCATTGGAAATTAGAAATTGAAAAATCATATTTTGGGGGTTTGAGCTAATAAGTTAGCAAATTTATTTATGAAAATAAAATATTTTGACTTATTTAAGATAAAAAAAAATTAAAATTTGGGAGACTCAATTCTTATTCTAGAACCGAGAATGAATCGAATCCCGTCGGTTCTTGATTTAGATACCAGTTCGGGTATTTAACTTAAAAAGAATCGCTTGATTCAGTTCGAATCTTGTTCCGGTCCGATTATATTCAAGGGTTTTGTCCGGCCCTACTCTCCAAAATGGTAAACTAGGAAGTATAAATCCCTTAGCTAATTCATCGTTGGCCATCTAATCATCCTTGTCAATTAAGGATCTCCTTGGCAAAGCTTTTGAAAAATTAAAAAAAAAAAAAAGTTCGAATCTTGTTCCGGTCCGATTATATTCAAGGGTTTTGTCTGGCCCTACTCTCCAAAATGGTAAACTAGGAAGTATAAATCCCTTAGCTAATTCATCGTTGGCCATCTAATCATCCTTGTCAATTAAGGATCTCCTTGGCAAAGCTTTTGAAAAATTAAAAAAAAAAAAAAATT